AATCAAAATTCCAATGACTTCTTGACATAGAAAAAACAGTCCAAAAATCTATATGGAGCCACAAAAGATCATGGATAGCCAAAGCAATCCTGAACTAAAAGAATACTGCAAGACATATCACCATACCTTATTTCACATTATACTACAGAGCCCTAGTAATAAAAAGAGCATAATACAGGCACAAAATTAGATACACAAATTAATGAGATAGAATTGAAGACCCGGATACAAATCCAAACCATGTAGTTATGTGATTTTTTATGAAGATGCCACAAAATACACACTGGAAAAAAGACACCATCTTCAACAAATGGTGCTGGGGAAACTGGATTTCAATATGCATAAAAATAAAACTAGATCCTTACTTCTCATCATATACAAAACTCCAGGGATCAAGGACCTCAACATAAGACTTGATACCTGGAAACTGCTAGAGAAAAAAGTAGAAAGTACACTTCAACTTATAGCTACAGGAAAGAACTTTCTGACTGAAAATCCAGAAGGGAGGGAAATAAGAGCAATAATTGACAAATGGGGTCTCATGAAACTAAAACCTTTTGTACACAAAGGAAACTGTGAACGTGATTGAAAAGACAGCCCACAGAATGCGAGAAAATATTTGGGGAGTGAGGGAAGGCTAATCCAGAGGAAGGGTGTGTGAAAATCCATATGGAAGCCTACTATCTCACAACTCAACTTAAAAAAACAACTGGAGGGATAGTAGAACACATAAAAGAAGAGGGGGGAATACTCGAGGTTAAATGGTTAGGTGGAGATGGGGACAGGGAAATAGGGGCAATGGGTGGAGTAGCCAATACCAAGGATGTATGAAAAAGCCTTATGGAAATCCATTAGTTAGTAAGCTAATTTCAACTATACAATTTTAAAATTAAGAGTTCAAAGGGAATTACCCTGCATAAGTGAACAATGTTGTTCCCAAAAGACATGGGCTATTAAATGAAAACCACAGTCCAGGGGATGGGATATTCTAGTTTGCTTTCAATTGCTCTGATCAATACCAACTTGGAAAGGAAAGGGTTTGTTTGGCTTACATCTCCCGGGTCACAGTTCATCAGGGAGCCCAAGGTAGGAAGGAACTCAGGGCAGGAACTGGAGCACTGGCCATTGAGGAATGCTGCTTACTGGCTTGGTCCCCTGGCTTGTACTCGACCTTCTTTCTTATACAATATAGAACCACCTGCCCGGGGGTGGCACCAGCTACAGTGTGCTGGGCCCTCCCACATCACTCAACAATCAAGAAAATATCCACACACATGGCCACGGACCAGTCCAATGGAGGAAATTCCCCAATTGAGGCTCTCTCTACCCAGGTGTGTCAAGTTGATAACTAATGCTATCTAACACAGGATACCTCCCTATAAGTTATTGGTCAGGGTGAACCCAGGGGTCCCAAAACACAGGCTATTTTCATTGCCTTTGGCTACCACCATAACTATATGGTAAAACACTATTGTTGAAGATACTTTGTACGTAGGGCATAGAGAAATCCACCTCAAACCAACCAGGAAATTTCTTCCCTGCTAGCTATCTTTCATAGTGCTAGAAGTGCTATGCAGGGTGCTGGGGAAGAAAAGACACCAATAGTCTCACCCAGTACTGGACTCTTCATGCTGTAATACCAACCTGCCAGGCAAAATCTGCCCACTGATGCAATTAGTGGCTTGACTGGTATGAGGTAACTAAACACTTTCTGATTGGATTTGAAGCCTGTTCCACAGGAGGGAATTTCATACCTAGTACTATAATCTTGGTAAAAAGTCCATAGCTGGGGAGGTCATGGGTAGAGCCTGCTATTGTTATTTTGCTGTGGTCATGCTGTCAAACTGCCTTCTAAATTATACCTAAATAAACCCATTGACCTTGGTTGCTCCAGCCCTGGTCAGAGCAGCTTTGTTTCACCATGGGCAGCTGTCATCAGAGTGATGTATAACTGGGAAATGTCCTAAGAACAAATGACTAAGTGTTCAGCCCTAAATGGAACATCTATATTAACCCCATAACCACCAAGGCTCAGAGAATATCCTAGAAGCTGAAGCAGGAATAATGGAAGAGCTGGACAATGGGGAGGAGTGCTGTGAAATGCCGTCTTCTGAACATGACTGGCTTTCTCAATCAAACTAATAGCAGGTAGGATTATCTGCACAAGACCTGCACAAAATCAAGCCAGCCAAATCCTGGCATAGACAGGAAGATGATCTCCAGGCCCCACCCTTTGCTGAGGAGCTACTGGCAGTGGACAGTTGCTCACAGAGGGAGAATCATTCTTTTTTGAGAATGTGGTCACTGGGGTTTCCCATGCTCTGGTGGATGGCCCCACACGCATGCACATATAGGGCAGCACTAACTGGACTTAGTGGGTAATCAAAAAAAAAAAAGTTGGAAGCGGGCATGTTGTAGGAGGTACACATGGAGTTGGAGAGGGGAAATGGGGTAGAAATGATTTTTCTTTGTATCTATGTATGAAATTCTCAAAAATAAAAGATTTGAAAAGATAATATGAGGAGAAATCTATGCATATGGTACAAAGGAAAGGGCAGAGTCACATGCTATTAGCTTAAACATGGGAACTTCAGTGTAAGAAATTTTAGTAACTCCAAATGAAGACAATTTAAAACAAAAAAAGGTAAAAAAAAAAAAGGGTGAATTTTAATAATGTATTTCATTTAGCCAGGTAATCTAAGCATCACTTAAAATTATAATCCATACTAAAAAGACATAATTTTTCAAGTTAATTCTTCAAAATCCAATGAGAATTTTATACATGCAGTAATTTCAAATTAAAGCACTATGATGTCATCAAAAATAACTAATCTATATTTAGATTTATAATGTACAGTTGAGGGACTGGAGTGATGGTTCAGAGACTAAGAGCACTGGCTGGCCATGCAAAGGACCAGGTTCAGTTGCCAGCACCTACATGGTGGCTAATAACCATCTGTAATTTCTGTTCCAGAGGATCCAGCACCCTCCTCCGGTCTCTGTGGGCATTGCACACACATAGTGCACTTACATACACACAGGCAAAACACTCATACACATGAACTAAAAATAAAAAAAATTTAACGTACAGTTGAAATAGTAGATTCACATACATAAATTGTTCTAAATAAACTTGAAAGCTTTCTAATAATTGAATCAAATAAATTCTATATTTTATAATAAATTAAAAATACTTTAAAAATCAGTTCCTTCATCACAGTGGCTACAGTTAAGTGCTCCAGAGCACTAAGATACAGCGTGAGGCTAAAATTGGGCAGTAGAGCTCTGCTGCAATTACTTATGAATTCATCTCTCTTCCCCACTAAATGGCCCCATCTATCTTCCCCAATACGTAGTATGAATGAAATTTGAAAAATAAAAGGTGCTTTATGGAAGTTTGTTGAATAAAAATATTTAAATTATCTGAATCTATTGCAGCATGAAATTGAGAGCACGATTTTGTAAAGAATGCAAATGGTGTTTCTTGGCTATACATACACACACAACCCCTCACAAATACACAAGCACAAGTGCACGTATGCAAACATGAGCATACATGCCTGTGTCACACACAACAGACAAGATAAGGAAACAAACTAAATGTTCATTGACTGGTGAATAAGGAGCTGTATGCACATATAATGTAATACCACTCAGCCTTTAAAAAGGGCAAATCCTAACACCCATGACCATATGGATGAATCTAGAAGATATTATAACTGAAATAAGCAAGTCATGGAAGGACAAACACTGCATGTCCACTTACACAGGGTGACTCTAAATAGTCAAACTCATAAGTAGAAAGTGGCAGTTGCCAGAGGCCAAGGGAGATAGAAGGAGTTGCTGTTCTGTATCTGTGACGTTTCAGTGATATAAAGTCCTAGAGATCTATTACAATACTGTGCATATAGTTCATAATACTGAATTGTGTACTTAAACATTTAAGATGGTAGCTTTCATGTGAAGTGTTAATAATAGGGAAACAGGAAGGAATGCATGGCAACTCTCAATCTCCTCAGCTTTACCATGAATCTAAGACTGCTCTAAAAACTAAAGTCTACTTAAAAGAGAAAAGTATACCAATTAAGACCAAGTATATTTGCTACTGATTACCTCAATAATTCAAAGTATTACACATACATCATCCCCCCTTCTTCTGTGCCTTCCTTACCCCTTCTCCACCATTCCCTTAATGACCTTGAATATTGTACATAATTATTCTATATTTTTTATTGTATGTATGTATGTGTCCATGTGTACACACACAAGGGTGTGGGTTCACACCATGGTACACATATGCAGATCAGAAATCAACTTTGTGGAGTCTGTTCTTTCCTTCCATCTTATGTGGGCTCTGGGAATCAATCTCAGGCCATCAGGCTTGAATGCCAAGCACTACCCAATGAGCCATCTCACCAGCTCCTGTGGTATCTTTTTATAGTCTCCATTTTGCTTTTCCAAGTTGAATTTAAAATTCTGGATTATTCTCTGCACTTTGTAACCATCAAACATGGCTTAATGTCAATAAGAAAAAAGAATCCCAAGATTCCATGTGTGATACAAAATCAACTTTCAGGCACCTTCATTTCCAGTGAATCCCACCCAATCAACCTTAGAAGTTTAATCTCCCAACAATCACACTGATACCACTATCTCTGGACTCACAGAACAATGACCTATGGATATAAACATTTTTTTCTCTGTAATATAATGTTTTGCATGTGTAATTGCCCTTCACCCCCAAGACAATGGGATCACATTCCCAGGCTTCATTAGAACACACATGGCCATGTGCAGTGCCCTTACCAAATGACTCAGCAGGCCTTAGTTCCTCTCCCCATTTCCAAGTTCCCTCTTTCTAACCAGTGACAGGGTACAGCAACACAACAGGGGTGAATTCAGAGAGGACAGTGATTTCTTCAGTCGTGTTGGTTGCTCTGTCTCCTGGTAATAAACAGCAATGATAAATAAGTACACATGGGTAAATGGCCACAAAGGGAGTCAGTTGGCTTATGTTTTATTCTAAGGTTGCTTGAATATGAACAAAATAAACCTAAACACAAAAATAGCCATTGGCTCAGTAGTGGGGTCCCCATTAGTCCAGATTGGTGTCTTTTCCCTTTTGATTTGATGACTCTTTGATGGTCTCTATCTCTTCAAAGGAGAATTTGGGGGTGAGAGCCACATTTTCATAGTCAAATTCTTCATCCAGAGAGAAGGGCTGGACTTCATCTCCAAGTATCTACAAAATGTAACAAAGGAAGAAAAGACAAATCACTGAAGTTGAAAATATAAACTGCCCATTAATGTTTAAACCTTTTTTTAGACTTCAGCATTTTCCGCTGATTAAGTTGTTTTTAAGTAAAGAAACAAATTCAATTATTCAATTTGACCTAATTTAAGCCTCTTAATATGCCCCAATTGTAGTATGTGTATCTGAATGAAAATCATTGACTAATTCTGCCCCCAAGGCAAAAATCAGAAGGTCTCCCTTGTACACTTTCATTTCATTCTTTACCTCCTTGTAGTGTCAAGGATGGAGGCAGATGGAAAAACTAGGAGTACATTAAAATACAAGAAATATACCTTAAAAATTGACCAATCTTAAATACATTTTCACCACTTACTAAAAAATACCTGTTAATAAAACATAATTTTAAAATATAAATTAAAATATCCTACATTTACTATACTTCTTCAGGTAATAGCCATAACGCCTGTCTAACAACAGGCAAAATTCAAACAAGTACTGTCAAATTTAAATATCCAGAATCCCTTTTTTCCTACCTATCAAAAATTTTTTAAATAATAGTTAATTTCTAAGTCAGAGTAGCTACAAATGTTTATACAAATGTATGAGTTGTAAAGTCTTCCTAAGGACAAGAGATTAGAAGCGTATTTCCCAGGGCTGAGGATATAGCCCAGTTTGTTGGCGAGCTGCCTGGCATGCACAAGATCCTGGGTTTGATCCCCAGCGCAAGAGAAAAAAAGGATTTTTTTAAAGTACATTTTCCAATAAACAGAAAGAGAATGCTTTAAATCTCATTATTTCGCCCCCTGAACAGCCCCACCAAAGCAAATGATGTGTGGCACATCTATCACTTTATAATATGTATGGTGATGCTGAAATAATTGAAAACTATGGCTTATGCAAAACTGAAAAGGTGCCCGAAGCTATTATCAGCTTTAAACATTCTCCTGGAAGATGATCTCACTGAGTAGCTTCTGCAGTGTGTATGAAAATGGAGCAAACTGCTCAGAAACTCAGTGCAGGTACCGAAGGTGAAAAGGAAATGATGAAAAGGCAGATCTCTCCTCTCAGGAAGTTAGGAGCAAAAACTGCTAATAGCGAACACACAGCCATGCATCATCCTTCCATAGGAAAGCCAGAAGCTGCAGCCCAGCACATTCCAGACCTTCAGTCATTTTCCTTGTTATCAGAAAATGCCTCTGCACTTTCCTAACAAGAAATAAGAGGTGCCATGGAATGCACTCTGCCATGGGCTGGTCCTAGTGCCAGAAACCACATGGGCATCAGCAGCAATCATCAAACAGCCCCACCAGTAGCCATCATTACCCCCAATTCATGAAGGTCTAAAAGGCTTCAGAATTTGCCTAAGGCTAAACAGTTAATAAAGGAGAGATGCCACATTTGAACCCAGGACCATCTGCTTCAAGTGAAGCTGCACCTGCTCAAAAACACCATCAAAAATCAACCATTCCACAGTTCTTCGGGAGAAGAGACCTTTTCTAAATAAGTTGCCCAGTTCAGACAGCCTACCACAGAAAATGCACTCAAGGCCGTGTGTGAGGCCTGGTTGTTTTTCAAAAGTGCAGCAGCACAAAGGAAGCACCACATCCTGAGGAGAGTGACTGATGTGCCCGTGATCACTTTCCACAGTTACATTTCTCTTCACCACAGTGAGAGTGAGGACCAATATTGGTACCATCTCAAGTGAAGAAATGCACACCCCATGATGCAAAACACACATATCCTGAACCTAAGTGTCCAAGCCATCTCTAGCTCTGTGCAGAAATACTGAGGCCTGCAGACCTGGTCACACGCTAATTATTTACCAAGTCTTAGATACCTGATTTGAACTGATCCTGGCCAAGATGTAGAGAAGACTCCATCTCTATCAGTGCAAGGCATCTCAGGGGGTGGGTTACAACTCTTTAGGTCTGGTCTAAATGCAAGTTATCACATATCTACTGAACGTTAGGCTGCCTATCCCAAGTATGCCTCCCACATTAGGATTTAGAAGCCCACTCTGAGGCCCCTGAACCTAGCCATTCTTACCACATGCAGACTTCACCCATCTCCCAGTGAGACTGGGCTGTAGCTTCAAATTAAGCAAGTCCCTCCAATACTATACCATGTCCTCCCACCCCTGTTACATAACACAAACAACTGCCACATCTCCACCTCCCTCCCCTGTATGTGTTCACTCAATAGACATTTATTAAGTTTAAGTGCAGGGAACACAAACTGAATACAGCAACACCTGTGTCTTAACCTAACTTCAAGGAGAAGACAAAAGAAAAAGAATGATCTGAACAGCATGTGGCACACGCTTAACTGGAATAACTGGGAAAAAGCAGGGGACCATAAAGTTCAGAAGTTTAATTTCCTCCCAATCAGGGATTGAGAAAATCCCATTGGCAGCCACCTCGTCCCACCTCATTCATCAGTCACCTTGTCTTAGGTAAAGTAAGGCTCCAGTTTGGGCTTCTGATAAGGGATAACTCCGTTGGCCAAGTTAGTTCTTCTGAGATAGCCCAACCCAATGCCATCCTGCCCTTCCCCTTTCCCTGAGGTCTCATTGCACTGTAATAGCTAATGTTAGATGCATAAATTTTCTCTTAAATAGAAAAACTATGTTTTCTCCTAAGATTTTGTTTTCATATAGTTAAATCCTCATTATGGCACATAATTTACTACAGCCATTTTGAATTAACCAAAACAACAGCAAGCAATAAAGTCTTCTGGAAATTAATATGCCAACACAAGGATTATTCATTTATAATAAACACAAAATAAAAATATACTTAAAGATAGAAACCTTTTTACCTAGAAACTAAGACCTATTAATAGCAGGTATTACCACACCATTTTCATGAGAAACCACTTAAAAGCTGAAACAGAACAACAGAAGAAACTAAAAATAGTAATAATTTCATATTTTCAGGGACAAAAAACGATCCATAGTACATTTCAAACCATTTGGGGGATGTGCTTCACTATGGCCGAGTGAGCAAAAACGTAAGAATAGTCTCCTGCTATCATTCAAGTGTTTTTCATTCTTCCCACGAAGTCTCTGTTCTTACCAAATCCTAACCATTGTGTAAGGTGCTAGGACACAAACATGAAGACCTGCATGAAGCCATGGACAGATTAGATCAGCACAAACAAATCATGACAATGAAGCAACATCAACATAGACCAGCCTTGAGTGGGCTGGGAAGGAACTGGTTGCCAGAGGGGTGATACCTAAGCAGAATCTTAAAAGGCATATTAGTTAACAGACTGGGGGAAGAAGAGCTTTGCAGACAGGAGCGTTCCCATGAGCAAGCCATGGATATAAGATGCTAAATCTCATATCTGTAAGGCTGAAAGCAGTTCAGTGTTGTCTGAGAATAAACTGTGAGGGAGAAGGGGTGGCAAAATCACCTCACAGACAAGGAAAAGCCCCAGAAGTTTGTGAAAGCAGCATAGTGACGTACTCTTCTACTCCTTTCAGATAATTTCCTGAACTTAGCTAAGCTTTTTAAAGTTTACTTATTTTTATTTATGTGTATGTGTGTGGGCTTGCATGAGGCCAGAGGGTATCAGAACCCCTGGAATTGGAGTTACAGACTGGTGTAAGCCACCTGATGAGGATGCTGGGAACTGAACTGGGGAATTCTGCAAGAGCAATAAATGCTCCTAACTGCTGAGCCATCCCTCTGGTCCTAGCCAAACTTTTTGATGAGTACTCTTGTTTTTACTGTGAACTTGATACAAATTAGAGTCACTTGGGAAAGCAGAGCCTCAAATGAAACTTCCTAGATCAGATTAGCCTGTGGGCATGTCTGTGAGGCATTTTCTTGATTACTAATTTATGGAGGAGGGCCCAATCCACTATGGGGCGTACTTCCCTAGGCAGGTAGGTTTGAGCTGCGTAAGAAAGCTAGCTGAGCATGATCTGGGAAAAGAACAAGCCAGTAAACAGCTTTCCTCCACTGTTCTGCCCTGACTTCCCTTAGTGAGAGGCTGTAACCTGGAAGCGTAAGCCAAAATAAACCCTTTCCCCACCTAAGTTGCTTTTGGTCAGGGTGGTTATCACAGCAATAGGAAGCAAACTCCAACAAACATCTTCAGTGAAACAGGTTGTAGAGTGGTTTCATGATGGTGGGAGCATGTGACAGACACTTGCTCACATCTACATGGACCAGGAAGCAAGAGGACAAAATGTGAGCAGGCCAGAAAATTAATGTGGCACATTTTACATTTAAATTAGGACATTTTACTCCTGGCCCCCACAGGCTCATGACTATTTCATAATACAAAATGCATTTGGTTCAAACTTCAAAAGCCCCATACATAGTCTTTAGCAGTCCCAATAGTATTCAAAAGTACAAGTACAGAATCTTTTCTGAGACTTGGACACTCTCTCTTAACTGTGAGCCTCTGTAGAATAAAAAAACAAGTTACATACTTCCAAACTACAATTACACAGAGTAAACATTTCCATTAATAATGGGATCAGAACAAGGAAAGATCAGACCAATGCAAGACCAAAACCCAGCAGGGCAAACACCACTTCCTACTTCATGTCTAGCACCTGGGGCTCTTGGTGTCATTATTTGGGCTCCAACAATTTCAGATAGCTTTGCCCCTCCAGCTCCGTGACCTAAGGCACATGTGGCCTCTCTTGTCAGAGCTCCATGCACAGCCTACTCAGGAGTGCCATGCAGGGACTCCTACCCTGCTACATGTTGCCTGACCTCAGCAACTTTCTAAACCTTTGGTGCAAGCCTCTCATTCTTGCCAACTTGCATGTCTGATATATTAGGCAAAGTTCTCTAGAGGAACAGAACCAAAAGAGAGAAGAGAGAGCAGGGGGGAGGGTAGAAGGGGGAGAAGGAGGAGGTGTGTGTTATAAAAGGGAAGTAGATTGGATTCCATAATAGGGTATGGGTAGTCCAAGTCATTTCCACACTGGAGAGGCTAGGAGCTGCTCATTCTATGAAAGTAGATGCCTCAACAGTTCCAAATCTGGTACTAAAACCTGTTAGAGTCCTGGAAAGGCCCATGTTGGAAGGTCAAAGCTACTAACTGATGTCAACACAGGATGGCAACAATAGGCGCAGTAGCAACTGGTGCATTTGCTCAGGAAAGAACAAAGGTAGGCAGGCAGACCGGCCACATTGCTTTTTCCTCAGACCTCGTTCCACCTGGGCCACCCACTGGAAGGTACTGTTCACCGAGGAAAGCAGGTCTTCCCCCCTCAATTAACCCTCTCTGGAAACATCCTCGCAGACATGCTCAGAGGTGTGTCTTGTAGGCGATTCCTGATGCTGTAAAATTGCAATCAACTATTACATTGTCAAACCAACATAACATGAAGGACACCAAGTTCTTCTGGCAACTCGAGAGATAGCCTGAACCCACGGACAACAGCTACAGTGGCCTCTGTGTGCCTTCCTGGCTGAACTTGCAGGGAAGGTACGGCAGCATGAAGTTGCCTGTTCCCATCTACAGCAATCAGGAAGCGGGAAGAGAACAGAAAGTGAGGCTAAAGACCTGCCCCACTAACCCTCTTCCTCCAGCAAGGCCCCACCCTCTAAAATTTCCACAGTCTCCCCAAAATACTGCCACAAGCTGGGAACCAAGTATGCAAACACAGGAGCCAGTGGAGGACTTTTACATTCACATGACAGACCTCGACCATGTTATTGGAGCACAAAGTCACGCCGGTAAGTTGTGAGGACTTGTTTGTTCTGTTTTCTCAATAATTTATTGCATGTCTACTATATGTGTGGTTCTAAGCTGAGCATTCATCCTGACATTCTGCATTACAATAAAATTAGCTTATAAAGACGTGCAGGAGTGAATTCAGACTTCCAAGACAAGGCACAGATATATGTAATTCCAAGTGAAACAGGCATACACTGCCATTCAGATCATCGCCATGACCTTCCAAATGACAGCCCTTCAAGCACAGTGAGGTCACACGTCTGCTCTGCATTTCAGCTGTTGGCTATTATAGAACACTGGAACTCTCCTTTCAAGGTGGGTTTCTTTCAAGATCCTAAAGTACACAACTCCAAGGTTTCTGACTACACACTAAAATTCCAGTTTATTTCAGAGAAGAATTTGTGCAATACAACACCAAGTCCCTTGCTGCTACACAAAAAACAAGTGTGAATTAAGTTATTAACTTGTTATTTTTGCCTAAGGAGCTTAGAGAAATGTGTGGATTTCAGGTGTCTAATTTCAAACCTAATTGAAATTTTTTTGCAGCCTCTTAGGGAATAGAATTTGTGTACTACTAGAAAACTTTGAGTTTCCTTAAAATTGCTCATGTGACTGGTCCTAACAGAGACACTGCTAAAGGAAGAGTTGTTTTCACTCATAATACCACACAGGCAAATTAAAGAACACAAAACTAATGCTCAAATCAATAATGGTAGCACTTAGCTACAGGCTAAAATACAAAGTAATAAGGTAAATAAACTGGCTTAGTGGGGGAAATTTTAGAACCTTCTTATGAACTGGAAAGAGATGTCTCAAGTCTCTTCTATTGACCTCTTCGATGGTATTGTCTTCAGGGAAGCACAAGTTTTCATCTTCTTATTTTGAACTTGCTTTGCTCTATAAAGCAGCTTAAAACTTGCAAAATTCACCAAAATAGAATAACCAAAGGAAAAATTTATTGGCAAATAAGCAGTTGAAAGTTCTTGGAAAATGTTCCTCTCTAAGGGTAAAATCCATGCATAAAATAGTAATAAAATTAGGGGAAAAAAAACAAATAGGCCCAATCCATATTAGACAGTTGATGGGTTCTTAATGGGCAATTGAGAGGAAGCAGGACACTCAGAACACATTCTCATATTTTCAGACTAAAGTCACTGAAAACAGCCACCATTTCTGGCCCCAAATGTTCATTGATGGATCCTTGCAGAATATTTGCTAGAAACTGATTATTACATTCTTTTACATGACATTAGATACTTTAAAATAAGATCAATGCTATTAAACCAAGACAGAAAATAATAAATAAATAAATAAATAAATAAATAAATAAATAAATAAATAAATAATAAACCAAGACAGAGTTGTTCAGTGTTGTGATTTCAGACAGTTCTGGAAAGTTTATTCAACACATAATTATTAGAAATAAACATCCCAGCTGAGTGTGGTAGCACACACCTGTAATATTAGCACTCACAGGGCTGAGGCATGTGGATATACAAGTTCAAGGCTAACCTGGTCTACATAGTAAGACTCCTCTCAAGCAAAACAAGATTAAAAAAGAAATGAAACTTCCATCCAAAATATTAGCCTTGGTAGTACAAAATAAAGCAAAAATTAATTACAGATAGCCTATGAGCTTCATAACATAAAAGCTGTTTACATTATTTTGGTTCTAACACTAAAAAATGTTCATGGGGCTGGAGAAATGGCTCAGCGGCTAAGAGCATTGGCTGCTCTTCCAAGGGACCCAAGTTCAGTTCCCAGCACCCACATGGTGGCTAACGACCACCCAGCAACCTGTAACTCCAATTCCAGGGGATCTGATGCCCTCTTCTGACCACTATGGGCATTGTACAACATGGGTACACTTACATACATGCAAGTATGTATACACTTATACACCTAAAATAAAATAAAAATCGTTTTAAAATGCAGTTTTAAGTCAGCCACAGTAGTATCCACCTATAATCCTAGTACTCAGGAAGCTGAGGCAAGAGAATTGCAAGTTCAAGGCCAGCCTGAGCTATATATACAGCAAAGTCAAGACCAGTCCAAGCTACATAGTAGGGGTGTAATTCAGTGAAAGATTGCTTGCCTAACATGTGCAAGGCCCTGGGTTTAATTCTTAGCATTTAAAAAAAAGGGGGTCATACTCATGGTTTTGAGTTTCCCTGGCTATTAGATATATCCCAGAAATAAGCTTTTTTAATCCACCAACTGAAATTACTTTACAATACTTTCTATTACTGTCCTAGACTTTGTATATTCTACATCTGACATTAATGTAATTGCATTTCTATAAAGGACTTGGTGCCATGTCCAATGGCTGACCCAGTAACCTCCATGGTCACAACTGAAGTCAAGAATATAAACAAGACTTAAAAAGAAACATTCCTGTTAGGAGAAGCCCTGTAATTTTACCTTCTTACAACTCAGAGAATGAAATAATCTATAATTCAAAACACTATTGGAAAATGGTTGTCCTGACTGATTTGTCTGGTAACCAATTTGGGCGTTTAAAGTAAACCTACAAGCACCTTGGAATACTTTTCAGTATAGTGAACAAAAGTACAAGAAGGTGAAGGACCACTTGAAATTGAAATGTGTACATTATCTCTGATTGAATGGCTGATTCTGTAACAGACTATCTTCCCATAACAACAGCACCTGAATGATTTTTTAAAATCAAAGAGAGACCCTAACTAAGGACTTTTTTTGAGAAAGCAACACCAAAGAAGCCTTTAGGACCTCCTGTGCTTGACACCCCTTTAATAGTAAAGTAAACAGAATCATCAGCAGCATATTTGCTAAGTATATGTAGAAGAGTTGAAAAATAAGTGCAAAATGACCTTTAAGTAATACATTAGGGAGAGTAAGCTATAGCAGAGATTCCATTCTGCCCTGACTTGCAGAATATGGTTAGGTGACATTTCTCAGCCTTCCATGTGCTAGGAACATAGCATATGGACATATTATTAAGTAGTTGTCAACGGATTTGAGATGCAATGAAGGACCCTGAGTCCTAAGCCTTGTTATGACACATTGCCCCCATGCTCCCATTCCTTGCCCTCCAGATACCATGGTGATCTGACTGGGAACATGCACATGAGAACAATGTTCCTAGGAGGAAACATTCAGAGGGACAAAGCCCTTGGTCTCTGATGACTCTTGGGAACCAACCTGCTCACTGTAAGAACGTGCTACAATTTTATAAATATAAGAAATAACTTCTACCTCCTTTCAGCCATGATATTGAGATTGGGATTTTCTGTTACACATACTGGCCTTACCTTCACTAGTGATGGTAAGAGGAATCATGACCAAGTCAGACTAGAAGAGGTAAGGAAACTATGTGTTCTTTCCACTGAGTGGTCCCTAAGTAGAACTGTTCTACAGCATGCGTATGAGGCACACACGCACAAACGCACACACACACACACACACACACACACACACACATACACACACACACACACACACACACACACACACACATACATTAGAGATACAGGAAAGTAAATGAAACCAATTAAACAACTTGAATTCTAAATTTTCCCAAATCTGAGGAAAAATACAAAAGCACACAGGTATAGTGGCATTTCTCCGAAAGGACAAAACCCAGGAACTGTAAAGATGGAATTCACTGTGGGTACCTCTTCAGTGTGCTTCTGTTTTCTTTCTACTGTGGGCTTGGGCTTCACCTCAGAGGTGAGAGGCTGGTCCACACAAGGAACATGGGCAGGAACACCGGTGCTTACATCCTGTTCCACTTGTCCAGGAAGTAGCAGCGCATCTGTGGATACAAAATACTTCCACTGATCTTCTTGTCAAGTTTGTCATTTATGTAAATCATCTGAAAGTCTGTGACAGTCAAAACAGGCAAAAATAATGCTCATATGAATTGACTTGCACAATGCGGGTCCTTGTCTATGACCCTGACTCAAAGGATTCTCCCTTTCTGTAAAATAGAAGCCACCCATGCTTTTATTTTTTCATCTTGTTACAAAGTTACAGTTCATCTGAAAGATCTGGGGGAAATATTATTTGGGGAGTAACTTGACTGTGCCTCACACACATAACTCAATTTTTACTACTCTAAGAAAATAAGGTAGAAAGATGCTACTTTTGCCTCATTTTCCCATATTTTCCTGAGGGGGTGAAGGGAATGGAGTGCTGATTTCATTCTGTAACAGTGTAGCAATATTTCAAAAACATACATATTGTAGAATGAGGATGCCAGAAGGGAAGTGCTTTAACTTTCAGCAGAAAAATGAAATACTCTGTCATATTCAGAATGTACAGTCCCATTTTCAACACTTGCAAACAATGTGTTTCCTGCTTGTTTAACACAATCACAAGAATTCAATAAGCAATCTTAGTTTTCTCATAGATTACTGTAAGTGGTTATGTCGCTTTATTTTCACATGCCTCACACTTCATGAATACATCATAATCACTGAACTTCTGCACCCTTAAGGAAAGCAAACAAACAGAAACACAAGAGGTTTCCTCCTCATTCTAAACTTCCATAAGATCAGAAGAGCTGGTGAGAGCTAGCCAATAACTTGGACCTGGCTCTGGATGATGCTGCCTGCTACTCAAGGATGATCCTAATTAAGCCTCTAATTAAGTTCTCAGTGGAAGTGATTAATTGGCAACAGGCATATCTGGGATATTGCCAGTGGTAGCACATATAAGGAGGTAACTGCATAGAGACTGATATTCCAAACCTGAGACTGTTTTGAAATGCATCTTTCACCCCTACAGACATTACTCTCTCAGAAAACAGTGTTTTTTGAAACTGTTAAGACTCCAAAAACAGAAAATAGAGTCATATCGTCTGGTAACTGAGAATTGTGATAGGGAGATGGTAAAGAAGGTAGTTCTACTGAGATCAGTCATCAAAATCTTGGAAGATTATCTCATTAACTGGCATACATAAGAACGGCAATGACAGACAACACGTACGCATCCACTATTACAAGTATCAGCACAGCTAATCTTCCCAATAGCGCTTACCTCCTGTGTTGCAGGCAGTGAGCTCTAAGGGCAGAGAAAACTCACTCAGGATCCCACAGCTGGAAAGGCAGAACTAAGCAGTCTGTCCCCAGAACCTGTATCTTAGCCCACAGTGTCACATTATGCACTTTTTAAGAACAAGCATTTTTATTACATGTTTAGTTTAGCTTTATTATATTGAACATCCAAGCTCAGGGCCAACACGTGTCTCTATAGCTCATTAGCATTGTGGGCAGTATTAATTTCCAGGCATTTTATACACAGAAAAGAAACATAAACTCATTAAAACTGGTAGAGAGTTTGACCTCCCAATGAACCTGTGTGCCTATTTACACAAAGCCAAACTCCCTTGTGTAAGAGCCTAAGACTAGTCCTATGCTGGCTAAGGTTTTCCCACAACAAACAATAATTTAAAAAAAAAGGTTTAAGCCCTTTAATATGAGAACCAGTATCTACCAGACCAGTTAGTTACCAGTGCAAATACCAGTTTGAATGTGCAATCAGAATCAATTCTGTTCTCCAGGCTTATGTTTAAGATCACTGTTCCAGCTGACAAACTGTAGCAAGGAAGACCAGTTCCTACTGAAACTCCTTTCTTCCCTAATCTGTTTGCATAGAAGGCAAGATTTTTTAAAAAGATATCTTTCATAACAGTTCTACTGCCATGGGACAAGTATTTCAAAGCAAGAAGACCCCATATCCTCTCCATCTTCAGTTTCGGTCGTCTAACTCTCCAAGGTAAAGATAAAATGCAGGAATGCATATTATTGGAGGCTAACACAACATTAGGCATGGTGAATTCCCAACCAGTTCTTAGAAACAGGAAATGAATTTCCCGTATCACAACTTTAAACCCAGCAGCAAGTCTCAAGAGTCTATCTGCCAATGAGGTGATGTAAAGCAAGCATAGCCCTGACCCTCAAAAACTGAAGGTTTTGTGGGATACCCTTTTCACATAAAATTCAGAGTAAGAATAATCAGAAACAAAACTGAATTGTTCTAACTATGGCAGAGCTATAAAAGGCTAAAACAATAGTGACAGAAAGACTACGGCACATGCTAGGGGGACAAAAAAATCCTACTGCTGCCTTTCAGTCATTTATGTGTATACTCCTGTTTGCTCAGGGAGTGGGGTGTCATAATATTTACTGATGAGGAGGAATGAATTATCTGAAGTACCCTATAAAACTTTCTAAAACTAAAAGCTTTAAGAGAATAATCTGATCTTACTACCTCTAAAACAACCAAAGGTCTTGTTTCCATTTTAAATGCCTCTGGTGGCTGGTATACGCTATAGGGTTGGGACAACTTCCAAAGGCAAATCTTGAGGTTAGTTGGCAAGGCTGGTTGAAACTTTTTAAAACTTCTTTCTCACTACCTACTAATGATTTCTGATATTTATAAACCACACATGCCATTTGTCTCTCAGTATTTAGTCACTGGCCAGCAACTCAAAGGCTATAACCATGCAAGCTAGTACATTTAAAATTGAGCAATCTGTCTGATATTTGATAATTCAGACTATAATAATATCTACTCTGGCTGGAACAATTATAAAATTAACCAATTGATTCATTTACTACCACATAACATATACAAAATGTTCTGAACATCCAGGCATCTACATTTAAAATGATATGAATGAGAGATCCTTTAGCCATCCAAGCCCTTCCAAACACAGCTGCCCAGGATCACAGTCAAGCTCAATGGTTCTTATTCCCGAAAATTAATGAAGACTCCAAAGAGCTTTTGTCTATTTGGGTTACATAGTAACATTTACCAAATAGACAATAAAATAAAAAATATTCCAATATTACTTCTTGATTCATTAAAAAATAACCCCATCACATATTAAATATTTTTAGGAAAAAGTTGGATTCCTTGCTTCTGCATTCAATTTTTGAAATATACTGCTTCATCGAAGTAAATGAAGAAAATCTAGTCATACAAAATAAATATCTGGGAAGAGGAGAAATATTTTAAGACTTTTTATTACTGTGATTATTCTTCTTAGATATTAAACCAGACCCTGACAAGTGATAATTTTTAAATGATACTTTCAAATAGTAATCTAAAATGAATCATTGTATTTTTCATAGGGTTGTATTAAAATCCACTGGCCTATCTTGGAAGTTGAGTGGATATTTCCTCTATGCATAATTTTATAACATTATAAATAGTTTATTTGGGAAATATTTATTCACAGTGTTATCAGGATCTTCTAAATGTTGGCATATTTCATTATGCAGAACAGAAAATCACATCAGTTAATATCACCAATTTTACCAAGAAAGCCTTCAAATATTCAGGAACCATTAGGTTCACAGTACTGGATATGAATTTTCTAAAAATCTAATTTTCACTTGATCTATTGCCTGTTTTGTCACTGGCCGTGGGTACTAGAAGCTGTTTGCCCTGAAGAGACAGGCTCCCTTCTTTCATTTCTGATACTTGAGTTTGTCCGTTATTCTTCCAACATGGTGGTTCGTGACAGTGAGACCCCCTTTCATCACACCACTCACCTAGGTGTCTATCCACAAGAATACCCTGTAGTTCCACATACAGAAGAAATACTTTGTGGGTGATTGCTATTAAAGCACACAGATCACTTTAAAAAGAACTATGTTCAAGTATCAAGATCAAGTAAAACTAAGGGTTTTCAATGCTATATCAAGGGCATTTTTTTCAATGAAAACTGGAATTTGTTTTGACTCTAAATTTACGAAAGTGAAGATCATGGCTGTAGATATCGCACCTTGGATTACACTAAGACTCCAGCATTTTTCCATCATTGCTTTTGCAACTTCAGTGATAAGATGAACAAATCTGATGTGGAGTCTCAGAGTTTCCCACAGATTCTCATTCTACACCCTCAAAGATCCACTGTTCTAGAGGGTATCAGTCCAACCCTCCACCAGAAAAATGAGGAAGGTCAGATATATCACAAAGATCAACTATTTGAAGGCACTGGAGAGCTACTAGGACAGCCTAGATGGTAAGGAGCCAAGATCCCAAAAGGAAGGAAAGTGCTGATAAATAAGCCTAAGTGTCTAGTGGCTTTTCAGCTCAAGGTATTTACTGATTTGCAAGCAGAATCTATGAAACTGAGAAGTTAAAAAGAAAGGAGGTAAGGAACTTTAAAACAGCAGGGTTTCAACAGTGCTGTGAAATAAGAATTTAATAAGGGTCCTCGGTGATTCCAGTGTGTTCTTAAATTTGACAAACCCTATGCAAAGGAAGCTAGACACACTGTATCTGACGCCCTAGCTTCCCCTGCATAGGGTTTGTCAAATTTAAGAACAGGAAATACACACAGACACACAGACACACACACACAGACACACACACACACACACACACACACACACACATATATATGAAGGCAAACCCCACAGATGTGTCCACAGGCCAATCTGACCTGGGAAATCACTCAGTTGAGACTCTTTTCAGGTGAGGGAGTGAAGGATTGCCATGCATAAGATGCAATAAAGCCCTTGCCTCCCCTAAAAAAAAAAAAAAAGTTTGTGCAAACACAGAAGACAATACATGAATACATGCAGTTTGCAACAGCATGAACCCCAAAGCTGAAGGAAAGGGCTGATCACATACTTAGCTTCTCTCTCCAGCCTCTGATTAGATGAAGACTTCCTTTCCATGGAGGGATTAAGAATAGAATGAGACAGAATTAGAATTATCCAATTCTAGTCTCCTCTCAGAACTAGGATGTAATTTACTTCATGCAGTACTAATGACTGGGCAATAGTTTTTCCCTGT